ATTGAAAACTAATAGGGTAAATAATTAACATTATAAAAATGCAAAAGTTCAAATTGCATAAAATATTAATGTAACTGAAAGTCAAAATATGGATAGATGCTTTGGAGAAGAATGTGCGTGCGGGGAAGATAAGCGCTACTCTTGAATCCGCTGCTACACTATATACATGTATATACGCTTAGCGGAAAGGACATGAAAATACACTTTGGAAAGCTAATATTTTTTCAGAAATAGCTCAAAACACGACACTCTAGTAGAAGTTTATATGTACATAAAGTAAAACGTATATGTGAGAGACTCAAAACCTTGCAACGATGGAAGACCCGAAAATGAGTGCCGAAAAGTAATGTCATAATGAAAAGTAATGTCATAATGACGTCAATTACATTCTTGACTGCGGCAATAGACGAGACCTAGCGTTGTGTTTACTTAAATATTTCAAAATATATTACATGTACCTGAATGAAATTTTAAGATAAAGGTAAAAAAAAAGATAAAGGTATAAGTATATTAAATTTTGTTGATAACTTTCGATTTTTAAAGATTTATAGCAATCGTGACATTATTTTTTGATCAACCCTCGTATTAGTACATGTATGACAAAGAACAAAAATGTCAGTTTGTACTTGGATTTAGTATTAACAAAATTAACGACTGATCATTGTCTGTAACCATAAGTCCTATTTCATCCACAATATTGTGTTTAAAAGTAGAATCACAATTTTGCCAGTGATTCCTAACATTTTTAACTGAACACAATAGTCATTTTGAATTCCTAGAGTTTACGAATGCGAATTCATTTGCAAAAATATAATCCAGAACTGTTAATCGTAATTATTTATTTAAAAATTGTATCCCATAAGCATTCCATAGCTATAAGGTTTTTATTTGCAAGTATACACATTGCTTCCTAATGCTGTTTTCTTTAAGTCAATGATGCACAGAGAGGCAAGTATACGCGTACATTCAATTTGTAAAACTCAGTCTAGCTTCTCCATGCAGTCTGTGAGGATGGAGTTCTTCCATAAAATAGAAAGAAATCATATAATATTCATATAACGACATTTTTTTAACGGAACCATAAAAATTAATTTCCTTCCTTTAAATCAGACAAAATGGGGGAAATAACATAGTAAATAAATTGAACATAATTCTTTTCAATCATCAGTGACAATTCACTGAACTATAAAATTAATTCAGACATGTATCTTTTTGTATAATTATGATGTGTGTTTAGATCAGACAAAAACAGCTTAAGGTGTAGGAATTTGATTTCCGAAGCCAGTGCCCCCACACACAGTTCTTAGAAAGAAAACAAAATAAATATGCATGTATTCATATAAATGCGTATCTGAAATACTTATAATTGTTTATCTTTTTGTAGGTTGACATTTACACCAGACAAGACAGAATTTCATATGAAATATTTGAAAACTTACAAATTAAAAATATTTTAACGCCATTAACATTGTTCCCGGATATTAAAATTATATAGAATTTGCATTTTTAATAATTATGTTGTTTTGTACCAGGCTTCACTTAAATCAAATCTGCATTTGATATGACTTTAATAAAATAAATTGCAGTCTCTACAATCGTTTAAATATCTGAACAGAAATCATGTATATTGCATTTACGTCAGTATGGTATCATGTTGTAAATTTTGAATTTACTAGGGGGAGGTAAATACAAAATATTCCCCTAGTAAATTCAAAATTTACAAAATTATAATGGTCTACATTTTTAGAAGGGTTTATAAGAATAAAGTGTAGAGGACAGACCGCTTTGAAATAGTGTATTATTTACAGACGCTGGACAGACGAACATCGGGTCTTTAGCATATATATAAAGCTTTTCCGGACAATAATTCAATATCATGTGAAAAAGTATGAGACAAGGAACTTAAATAATATGTGCCCACAACATTGATATGACTATTTCAATAAAATAGACATTAAACCAATAAAAATCTTTATCTTGTATTGATATGACTATTTCAATAAAATAGACATTAAACCAATAAAAATCTTTATCTTGTAAATACGAGATAATATTATCTCGTAATTACTAGAAAAGATCTCGTTATTACGAGAAAAGATCTCGTAATAACGAGAAAATTATCTCGTAATTACGGGAAAATTAGATCTCGTAATTAAGGGAAAATTAGATCTCGTTATTATGAGAAAATTATCTCGCTATTACGCACGTATATAAGTTTTTTTTCTCTTTCCGTCGTTCTTTTTAAGGAATTCAAGATCTGTTGAAGCAGTCTTTCTAATATGTCCTCCACTGGTGGATAAAACGAGGTGTTGGAAGGAATGTCCTCCTAAAATAATTTTATGTACTGAGAAAGGCACGAGGAAAGACCTAATGCTTTAGATCTTGGTACCAATGACCTTTAAAATCAAATTCTAAATTTTTCCCTGAAGGTAGGAAACCTCTACCCTTCCGGAACATCTCAGTCATGCATGTTTCAGTATTTCCGAAAAGACACTGCTAATTTGTATCTGTTTTCCTATATTCAAACAGCGTCTGTCTAGCAATTTTATCTACTATCCAAAGGAAAGATCATATACTTTTTGTAAAAAATAAATTAGTAAATATTTATCAAGTCGTTGTAAAAAAAGGCAATTTTAAAATCTTATTTTGCACCAGTGTTTACAAAAAAAAATTACTCCTCTACTATGCTAAATTTCGCAATAAAAATAATTTTTAAAGAACGTAGGGACTTCCAGGGGCTTGGAAGACTGGACCCACTGAGTCTGAAGACGGTCCAAGATTACTTAAAGGATTTATCAATATACATTATTCTATATTCCCGGTATATGCTTAAGTCTGCTGGATTTCCTTGTTTTGAAATCTTTTTTTATAGTGATAATATATTTTGATAAAATTATTCACTCGGCACAATTCATAGTTTGTACAACTCAATACTATACACGATATTTCTCGAAATTACGAGAAAATTATCTCGTACATACGAGAGTATTATCTCTAAGTACGAGGTAACTATCTCATAATTACAGATAATCATTATCACGAGATAATTTTTCTCGTTATTACGAGATAATTTTCTCGTAATATAACGAGATATTTTCTCGTAATATAACGAGATATTTTCTCGTAATATAACGAGATATTTTCTCGTAATTACGAGACAGTGGGTTGTTTTGTTTACTTGATACTAACATAGACTTTCGTAAGTTTGAGTACATATGATACTAAAAAAAAATTACATGTATATGAATTTGAAGAGAAATATACATTAATATGAACAGTGTATAGGTTTTTAAAAAATCAAAATGTACATTTTCCAACGATTTATTTTCGAAAGTTTTAATCACAATAAAGACACCCCCCCCCCCCCCCCTCAGAAGAAAAACGTGTTTAGCCCTTCTTGAACTGTAGACTGTTGCTAAACTGAAACAAGATTACGATAAAAACTGCATCATCAATCAGTCACAATTTAAACAATATTTTATTATGTAATTAACATTGCAATTACTATAAACGGCGAAGATGCTTAAACAGTAAACTCAAAGAGGTGGCTCAGTGGTGTGCATCCATACACGCAATTGGACAATTACTTTTTCCGCTATCAAATTATAAGAAACAAACTATATAAGTACACGTTAAAAAATACTCCTGAAAAATGTTTGAGAAAGCACGAATGAAAATTTCCAGAAATTGAAGAAAAAAAAAAGTTTCGAAAATATCTTGTCAATTTCTTGTCAATCTTTGGACATTAGCAAAGTATCATTCAAAAAGGTTAAGGCTGTGAAGCTGGAGCTAGGGACCCACAAACTTTAATTTTAACAAGTATATGTGTGAATCTACCCAAAAATTTTTATCGCGCAAAATTTCTTCTACATAAGCGGCGGATGAAAGCCCAAATTATCATTACATTATTAATATTATTCAGGCAAATATATAAACTCTTTACAGCGTTTCATAATGAACGAATGAAAAAACTTAGTAGTTATAAATAAGAAATTAAAAAAAAAAACCTGAAACATAATTTAAAACGTATAAGATCTGCACATACAGTATAAACGAAAACCAATATGCAGTATTTTATTTGTCTTTTTTGCTTATTTTGCTCTTTGTAATGTATTTTTGTGTATCTTTGCTTTTTTTTGGGGGGGGGGGGGGTGGTTGCTCTTCAAAATTATTCCACTACAGAGTTTCTACAGTAGATGGGTGATGTGTTAATTTCAAGTTCTAATATACATGTATATTTCATGGCAATGGGGTCATAAAATGTTAAAAGCTAATGACTTATCTAATAACGAATCTGGACATGGAACTGTTCTATAGTACTGTAGTATGCATTTCTTATTTCAGAAGGATTTCTGATTCGGATATGAAATTTCAGGGTATAAATATGTATAATTCGTATTTGGACATGACATTGCCCAAAAAAGTGTGCAATGAGAACTCTTAGGAATATTACTTCTTTTGCAAAATATCTTTGGAGCACGTGATGCATCCTTTTCAGTATGTAGTGATATATCCGCACATGTAGGTAAATGCATGTAAATGTAAAAAAACAAAAACAAAAAAACAAAACAAAACAAAAAACAACACCCATAAATCCTTTATTAAAGACCACTTGCTACAAACATTTTTTTCTCAAAAACCATAAAAATATACAATAGAGTTATGATAATTAAGTATAACCATATTAAGTTTAATTTTTATTCAAAATTTCTCATAGTGTCCTTTAAATAGATTTTTTTTTAAATTGACTATATTTATAAAGTGAAAGAAAGTGTGAATTCTGAATATCATAGATAATTTAGCATTTCTTTATATTTTAGTAATATGATAGTTAGATCATATACAACCAAAATATACCGAAAAATAGATACCAATCACGCATCCAATGTTTTAGCATGTGTTCTCTTAGTAATAATTATATCAAAAAATAAATTTAGTTTATCAAGATACAAATGTAACATTATATAGCCATTAAAACAGAATTACAATAGTATTTTCATCATAGATGGTATTTAAAACTGGGTCTTTAAGACAGATGGTATCCAATACCGAAAAAAATGGACGGGGTGAATCACGTGACTGCATTATAGACGTTATCCAATATTGAAAGTTGAGCAGATATATTCGAGTGCCACAATACCTAGAAATTGACAAAAAAATATGACGTATGGAATTATTGACGTGTTCTAGTTTCGATATATCCGGTGGCATAAAAGCAATGGTTAAACATACAGACACAGAAAGATGTCTTGCTTAAAAGTGCTGTTGGATAATTTTCAGAAAGAAGAATTACATTTTCTAAAAAGATTAAAACTGTTTTGGGAAACTGCAGTTTTTCGAAAATGGGCAGTAATGTACAACTAAACACAACTAAAAATCTTCTGATGGTATTCATGGTAAAATATCGGTAAGTTAAGTATTTTAAATATTTATATACACCCATTACAATCATGAACATCTAAGTCAAAAATTGAGAAGAGTAGTTCTCAAAGATAGTGTTTATTTTAAATCACTTTACGAAGTTTTCTTTTTTAGTTTTTTTTTTACCTTTCAATTTTCATTTATAATGAAATCCTATCGTATACTTTCTTTTAAAATAGAAGACATTTTCATTTTCTCACTAAACAATTGAATGTTGCTTATTATGTCAAGATCAAGATACAAGTTGAACTAATTTTTTTTAAACAGTAAAAATATGTACACACGTTCAGTTTTCATTTTTGGACTTGTGTTTTATAACAAAGTGATAGGATTCTTCCTAAAAGTATCCCTTGGTAACTTTGCAGAAGGGGAACTATGTTTGATAGAGAAATCATGATATCCTGCAACCTTAGTGTAAAACAACTTCTTACAGGTATTAGATAAATACTAAATAGCAATATCATTTCATCAACAGTAAAAATTTTAATTTTTTGCAACCCTTATTGTTTGTTTGTTTGTTGTTCATCCGAAGTACCGATCTCCACGTCCCACAGTGGGATTCGAAACCGCGACGTGAGGATTAACTCCTTACTTCGCGACTCTAGAGCAGACGCTCTAACCACTGCGCCACGCGCAACCCTTATTGTAAAGATTACCCAGTTTACTGTCTACTGTCTATCATGTTTAAATAAATGACCGACTGCAGGTGCTTGATACATATAATCTATTTGATCCCTCTCTCTCTCTTACACATACACAGAGACAAATAAAGGTTAACATAAATAGTCTCATCTCTCGTTTTGTGAAAGTTTTGACCAAAATAGAACATGCAACACTTTGAACAAAAAACCCTTTGATTATTATGTTTAAGCTAAAATTCTTTTTATCCGGTAATCAGGGATAAACAGTGCAAGAAGTATATAATCTGTTAAAACAACCTCTGAATTTACATAAAATCTTATAAAAATAAGACTGCATTTTTATTTTATAAAGATCAGTAGTTGTTGATTCTTAAGCTTTCATGAAATGTGTCAATCCCCTCCCCACCCCCACCCCTATTTCAAATGAGAGAAACGTTACATTTTTTTCTTTAAAAAAAAGAAGCTATCACTGAAAATAAAATAGAATTAAAAAAGGAAGATAAGAAGCTCATAAGACAAATTCTTAACAGTTTTGTAAAAGACAAATGATTTCTTCGGGTTTTTCTTTTTCTTTTTTTTTCTTTTTGATAAGCTTTACTTAAATAGCTTGTCTGTCGTTCCCGTTATCTAGCTTGTTTTCCTGTTTAGAAACTGTCGCACTATATACCTGCAACTGTTATGATTTTTTTTAACATTAAGGACTAATAAGAAATTATTAGACCTTTTTTGTTTCAGACTAATTATTTCAAAATATGAACACGATGTGTCATTTTTCCCGTGTTTAACTTCCATCAAATTTTATCACTGGAAATTTTGAAAAGGCCTTGATATTACAGAATATTTATTGTAAGAACATAAATGTCTGTTTAAAGAGTATCAAAAACACGGAAACCTCTGTAACATTACAAATTACAGAAGTTAAAAGTTACTCAAAAAAGTCTACAATCACGTGGAGAGAGGTAAAAAAAAATGTCTCTACATTTAAGATTTAATCATTGTTAAGAAAAAAAGTAGGTTATTTAAACAATGAAATACTTTCTTAGGTTGTTAAAATGGAAATTAACGTTGCAGTTGTTGCAGAAAAATTACATAACCCGCATGTATTTTTTTTCTCAGTATCTGCAACGTTTATTCACGTACTACCAAACAAAGAAAGGCATTTTCTGGTTTATATTTATATCTGTATAAATAACATGTAAAGTAGGACTAAGTACGTTGAATATTGTAGTATTGATATGTATGTCATCGTATGTTTTGTTTATGGAAGAGCCGCTACTCAAGAAATCTGTACAGGTGCCTTGCTTAGCGGCGTTTACTGACTGATAAACGACCGTTGTTTTCATAAGAAATAAAGGCGATATCTATCAAATATTTGGTGGATGTAAATATACATATCAATAGTATAAAAAAGCATGTGTCCCATGTCGTAAACTATACTTGATGTATTACACCTCCGTCAACAATTTAGGAGCATATCCTTTTTAAGGTCGCCTGAACCAAAAAAAACAAAAAAACAAAAACAAAAACAAACCATATGAGTTTCTTTGCTCAAAGTTTATCCGTCGTTCAATTATTTTACACATTTTTGACATCTTAAGAAGCATGGACAATTTCACTTAAACTTGAGACAGTATAAAATAAGGTAAAGAGAGTTACATATTGTTCAAATGAAGCCAAGACCGGATCCCCGACATTTTCATGAAGAGGTGATTGATAAAAAGGAAAACGTGAGGATATATCGAAAAAGCAGAAACATTTTTACCCTCTATTGGTAGAGTTAAAAAAATTCACATTCTAGCATGCTTAGAAATAAAGATGAAAAGACTGATGTTTTTAGAAGTCGTCCGTAATGATATGCATCTCAGTCACCGTATTGAAAATATTGAGAGGAAAAGAAATAAATCATTAATTCAACAACAATTGCTTTTATACAAGAAATCTTAGTATTGCACAGAAATTAGGGCATAATACAGCAAACGGAAAACGCTGCATGAAGATATGGCATGGGACAATAGACATATTTTAATGTTTTCCTCCATATATTGAATTGTATTCAGTTATGGCCTTGTTATCCAGATGGTGTCTTTGTAAACTACTGTGGACTAAACACACACACACACACACACACACACACACACACACACACACACAGCGTCAATCCTTATATTTCCACTATTCCTAGAATTATATATAGTGAGAAAAATAAAACTCATTCAATGTCTAGTTTTAAATGTATTGTTATGGATGATCTCTTCAGGAAATCGGTCGTCTACACGAAGTTGCTGGATCAATTACCACTTATATGTATTAAGCATTTAGTGTATTTTTTTCTGACACGTTTCAGCGGCAACACTTGCTTTATTTAGATCTACATATATATGTATGAATATTTTGACAAAAAAATATGCCGTCTACCTTTAATGTAAACTAGGCTGTCAATAAAACATGAAGTGTATATGAGTCGCCTGCGGTTACTTTATAATAATACTGGAAATTATGCATGACGTTTCAAAATTATATGTAAAATTAGATGTAACTAGGATTAAATGGGGGGGGAAATCGAAATCTTTTTAGACATTGTGATTTCCGTTTTTTGTTTTTGTTTTTTTTTTAATTTCATCTCTTGACGTAATATTAAAAATGTCATTTCCTATATTATTATTGAGTATTGAGACAACAATCCATACTCATTTGCTAAAACAGCGTTGATGGGAAATTATATACTAGTGCACATCGTATAAGTACGACAAAAGTCTCTCCATTAACTACTATTCACATGAACTGTAATTCAGTCATATATATACATGTATATATGTATAAGAAAACCAATTATTAAAAAATCTACCGAAAATCTTACCTCTAGTTTGAGAAAAGAAATCTGTTCAGACACAAATTTATATGTTTTTTAAAGCATAAACATCTTTGTGTACACTGAACCTTAGAAATAAAATTTTTAGTATAGAAACTCATACACTAATATACTATGAGGGAAATTTTCTTTCCTTCTTGTTTTTTTTGGGGGGGGGGGGGTTCAAAAAAAAGATGAAAAGCATGTCAATTGAATGTATGATCCAAGCATCAAGTTGTAAAATTTGAATTTACTAGGTGGAAGTAGAATAAAATATACAATGTGGTATTTTGCATTGACTTCCACCTAGTAAATTCAAAATATAATATGATAAAAGTACAATGCTTTGTAAATGTCACTGACTGAGTCATTCGTATCGTCTTATTTTACATTTGGAATACATGTATACATTTTTTAATATAGTTTGCAAAATTTTAATGCATAAGGAAACATTATGGGAATGCGAATTTATTACTTGTTAAAGAAAAAAGCCCATTTAACCATGGGAAAAATTGGTATCCAGATTTTTTAAAGTGGAAAAAGCTAAAAATTTAGTGTCAAGCTGCTTTCTAAGAAACTGCGTTAGAGGTAACGGCATTCTGTGAACAATTCTGGCATTATATTAAAATTATCTATATAAAAAAGATGACACATATCAGTAAATTAGTTAAAAGAAAAGAAACATTCGGAAAAGAAATACATTTATTACACACTTTTAAGATTAATCACGTTTGATTCTTTTTTTACACTTGAACATGGGCGAACAATGCGTGGGAAATGTCTATAGCCTAAAGATTATTAAAATCAAATTCACTTTGTGAACTAAGTATTAAGAGAAATTTTCTTATTATTGAGAGACATGAAATTATGACTAGCAAAAATTCCCTCGGTAAATATTGTTCTATGGTTTTTTAAAAAAATGCCTTTTTCATGGTGTTTGAACCCAAACATCCTGAATATCAGGGAGGGGGGGGGGGTCTTAGTGACACGTTAATAACTAGACTTCACAACTGATATCTAGTATAGTGTCATTTAAGGTTCATAAACCCTCTGCTCACTCATATAAAATGTTTCTTTAACTCTTATGATTTCCAAATGAAATATATTCGTTAAGTAAAATACAAACAATTACAGCATAGCTTGCGGTGCAAAATTGGACAAAAAAGATAATTCAACTTGACAAATTTATAAAGAAATAAAAGACTTTTATGTCATCAATAGTTATCTCTTTTATCAGAGTATCGAAGAACCTTAAATCTTGTGTTTGTGATATGATCTTTGAATAATTGGACTTAAAATATTTCTTGGAAAGATAATTTTGTGTCATATACTAGTAAGAATATCATTAAGGTATAGTAAGTCCTTGCTCCATGTTTTTGTTCACCGTAAAATGTTTATTTTAGGCCATCTTTTAAAAAAATATTTGTTTGCCCTCTCCCGACCGACTGGCTAACAATGGCCCGATTGAAAACCCTTTTTACCTCCAGGAAATGATTTTTTTCATTCCGGGATTTTCTCATCCTGTCAAAAAGTATTTTAATTTTATTTTACTATATTTTGAAAAATTCAGCATTGATATTGAAATTTTCAAACATTATTTTAAACATTTATTTTGAAGAAATGGAGCGAAGATTTATATGGACAAATTGTTTCATAGTATGAAGAAATGACCATCTTTGTCCTCTTTCGGATGTGCGTGCTATCTTATAAACGAATAATTCAATGCTTGTGAGAGTGAAGCAAATTTTAGAGATTTTTCATAAAGGATATATTAATGTCAAATGAAATACGAAAGACCTTTTTTTATGATAAAGATTAAATAATTCATTTTCTTATTTGTCGAACAATGGACATTTTCTCGGCCATCTTCTTTTCGATTAAGTTCCGTAAAAGATATCTAAAGAAAAAAAGCAAAGAATACGGGTGACGAGCAAATATTAGTCCGCGAATGAATGAAATTAAAAACAAAATTAACGGTCAAACAGCCACGTAAAGGACCCCTTCCCCAATCGAACAGAGGAAATAGAACGGTATATTCTCAAATAATTATCACATACTCCTTACATTTAAAACATACATGTATACTGAGCTGAGTATTTACAGATTTGGTATTTACATATATAAGTATACTTCCACTTGTTTTCTACTTTAAAAGTATTAATTACTTATGTATTTGCATCTTTGTGTTTGTAACAGTAGGATACATAGATACTATCAATATTTAATTGATCAATTGATTTAAAAAGAAAAGTTGGAACCAGAGGACACGTATGACAGGAGTCCCACAATCATTCCTAAAACAGGAGACGGATGAATCGTCTCTGTTTCCTTTTTCATTACTGTAGATCACTAAATATTCGCGACACCTTATTTTCGCGAGATAGTCATTGACTCTTTATTAGCGAGACATAATTTTCACGAATTGTTTTTATTCCTCTATATAATCTTAAGGAATACTATTATACACGAGAATGAAATTTTCGCGAGCTCACTGTCTTGCGTATTACGGTAAATACGAGAAAATAAAGTTTTCGCGAAAAAAAGGTGATTTACAGTAGTTTATAATGTAACATGAAAATATCCAAAACAAGTCCTGAAGTAGATTGAAAATATCAGCAGAGTTTCTGTTTTAGACACCTCTTTGTCAGAGTCTATATAAGGGGTTAAATAGTCAAACATTTGATACATTCTTTCAAAAACTTCTTTATGCATGGACACGTTCCTCTGCTCTGTCTTCCATGATAATTCACAAGGTTACATGTTGTCTAATCGAAATTTCTTGAATTTAATGTTGTCTCAAAATATAGTCCTTATACATCTATCGCATACCTTGTTAACACTTTTTAAACAGAATGACCTCTCGAAATCAATTTAATTCCTGTATGTATATACAAGTGTTTTCTTTAAAAACAAGATAATACTTTAATTTTGCCTTTTCAATTAATCAATTCTCTCGAGAAGTAAAAGTTGAAAATTACAACTTTATAACATTGTAACCGTCTGGATATCAAATATTGTTAAGTGGTTACGGAGGTTCAGTTATTCCACAGATTAATATATAGGGATGTTATTTTGCACTAAGATACATGTAGATATACATGTATATCATTTCTAAGAGAGCCAAGAGGAGGAAGTTAACATGTATCTGCACAATGAAGGAGGCCATAATTATTCTAAGAATCTTTCTTCATTTCTCTTTTTCTTACAAATATACAACATTATCTAATTTGGGAACAAAAAAATCCGAAGATGTTAAATATCCTTTGGTATTGTTTGTATAAATATAGATGAATACAACGATGACATTTTTCCGCTCAACATATTTTTGTTTCCAAATGCCTGCAAGTTTGGATGCATGGTTGTAACAAGTTCCACACACCCGACAAGATAACTTGTATCATTAGCTAGCACGGTGTCTGTGATAATCTTAAATAATAATGGCCCTTCGATCCTTTTCTTTGTTCTAATAGTTGTGGGGATCACACGAAAGCAACTTACAGCAACATGCACGGATCTAGCGGGGGTGGTCAGGGGTCTCCAGACCAACTCCCTCCCCCCAGGATTTTCAAAGTTATTAAAATTGTACCCCAGAAAGCAGATTCCTGGTGTAATGATAGAGGAGAGTATACATAACGTATGTATAGAAAAGTGATTAAGTGATTTGTCCGAACCCCCCCCCCCCCCAAGATATAGGTTTTTCGGGTTTTTTGAGTGGATGTCGAAACCAACCAACCCCCAACCCCCCGGAAATAATTCCTGGGTCCGCACATGAGCAAGGCCATGACTTGGCTTGTTGTTGATAAAACGATTTTGATAGCTGATAATTGTCGAATGGAACTTTGAAAAAAAAATCTCATTACAGAAATCGTTTAAATTGTGTATGACTTATTTGTGTTTTTATTGATTTTGATTGATTTTTAGTCGATTTTGACACATTCGAACCACATGTATATAATATAATAATATGACTAAACATTTCTGTTGACAAAATTTACGGATTACGTATCTAAAATTCAACTAATATATGAATCAATTTTCATTTCGATAAATAACACCTAATCGAGGTGTAGTTAGGGAGGTTTACAAACAATTTCAAACAAATGGTAAAAGAAAGAAAAAAGAAAAAAAAGCTGGGCACAAAATTTCATGCGTATCAATGAACAATAGCACCAAAAATAAGTGATTGATATTGCTCATCTATCGAAACATGTTCAAAACCATGAAAATATTATTTCTTGTACTCTTTAAAATCTCTTCACTCGAAGATTATCTCCCTTTAGATTTTATAATTTTGTAAATCAAGGATTCAATGTAATAAGTAAAATTACTGCGATGAAAATTGTTCTTCTTAAAATTAGTTAGTTACCATTTGTTGTAATGTGTATACCGGTATTAAATACTATAGTCGTACACTTATTTTAATTTTCAAATAAAATCAGTAAACAATATATGTATCTTATTTATTAGATTTTCATTTCTGCAATTACACTACACTTTATGATAAAAGGACCGTTCTGGTACAAATTTGGTTACTTTGCATGAACAGTAAAAGTGATGTACTTTCAGAGCATATCTCGGTGATGGATTTGAAGTTTTAAACGCGTTCCGATGGACGCGCAATGTCAATCATTTTCTTCTAAAGCACTGGGCGCTACCTATTGCTGGTTCTATGGTTCGTTAACAAGCATGAAACTTTTTGTTTAGAAGAAAAAAAATACCACTTGTTTCTTTTCTTTTTAGTAATTTTACTATTTTACCATTCCAGATGTTCCTTTTGCGGTCAACACAGGTGAAAGGTGACAGATGAATTACCAGTGATGCTCATTTGTCAAAATTGTGACCGTTTTCAGTTTTGCATCTGTGTATTCCTGGTGAAATAGAAACATCGTGTATAAACACGGAACACCAGTGTAGGGTAATATAAAACTAACAATTTGTGTTTCATGTTGGAGAGAGAGAGAGAGAGAGAGAGAGAGAGTATTACTTCAGAGTATTAAGATATCATCATACAGGAAAACTTGTTATGGAATGAAGAGTTAAAACGATAATATTTGGAATGAATTGATTCATTTGACTTTGTATAAGTAAAGAAAAAAAGCAAATGTATTGTCTATGTACATGTATAATGCAAAAGGTATACTGTATCTGTTGACAGACACCCTAGTGCATATGTATAATACAAAGGGTATATTTGTTGAAAGATACCCAAAGAATAAAGAGAATTCACTTATGCTCATACATTTCATATTTTTATTTGTGTTATTTAAAGTATATTTACATCTTGCATTATTTCTTGGATAAAAAGTAACCTTTAAGCATGCAGAGAAGACTGAGTTATTTGAAATTCTTGGGTAACCCAATACGCTGTAAATGAACAAAATACGAAAATACGAAGAGTTTTTTTTTTTTAAATACATGTAAAACACACGATAAACCCGTTTCTCACTTACAAATGGAATTATTCAACACTTTAAAGCTAGAGTAAGTATTAAATAAGTACATTTTTTTTCACTTTACCTACCACTGGGACCCGTATAAAATAAACTTCATAGCGAGCTCCTTCCGACAACGCCTAGGAGTACTTTAAACTGATCAATAGAATTTTTTCTGCATAAAACTCAATACCCACAATCCCCCCCATAAATTGCGTATGGTTGCCAAAACTATGTGCTCCCGATATTCAAACGGAAAATCACAAATAACATTGGAACTCATCGTGCTTTAATGGAAATTGCAGAATTATAGAATATTACACGCTCTGTTAAAAATTCGCACTTTTTAGAATTGGTGGGAAATGCGGATTTTCAGTGTATTTGAGTCTTTATTAAGCCTTAATTTTAACAACGACAAAAAAAAAAAAAAGGTCCACTTACACAAAAACATTGTACCTTGTTGCCTCTTATGATATAAGGGTTTTTTTTTCGGAATATACCGGTACATACATCTCTAAATAGGCTGTAACCATGGCTACTTATATGCTGAAAAACAGTATCCATTAATTATAGGTTTTACATGACCAAACTCATTTGCCACAATAAAAATAGTTGGCCTCACGTAAATAGACTATAGTGATATTATTCTATATAAATAAATATTATTGTTGTCATTGTAACACAGCATAGCTACACATAATTTGTGTATCGAATATGAGTTAAAACTTGTGTTCAAAACTCTGTATCTCATTTACAATCCGTTGTTTATAGGCAACAATATGTAGTATTTTTTTAACAACTCCAACGATTATCGTTGACAAAAGTCATGACATATTCCTAAGATTCCAGGAAAGGATTTTATAAGGTTATACCCTATGTATAAAGTACAAGTATTTACCGATTTTAATGTTATTTTTGTTAAAATGTACATGTATACTGTTTAAAATGTATGTTATTTACATTATAAAAAAAACAATAAAAGATGAAATATCGATGCCATACCCTGAAACATACTTTGAAACACAGAAAAATACAATAGAATATTGGTCTGCAATTATCAACTGATTCTAGCAAAAAAGATTCCTTCAAATTTACGACCGTCCTATAGGCGAACCGACTTACATCAGAGTATATAAGGTAGTTTTGATTAATTCTGCCATCTCATAGAAAGACATGGGGAATCAAAACTGTCAAATAAATATCTTTAATACCTTTTAACAGTCTTTAAGACCTTGAAAAAAATCTAATTAAAATCAGACTTTTTAGATCCGTACTTATACACTCTATGTCTCTATTTGAATTGTAACAATTCACTTTAAAATTGATAACCTGTTTTATGTGAATATTTAGAAATGTTTTCTGTAAAAAAAAAAAATAAATAAATAAGTAAGTAAAAACTGATGAAACACATTAATTTGAAACCACTTTTCGGCATGACTATCTTTGTAATAGCATCCAATAAAAAGAAAAACATCAGATTTCTTTCTTAAAATATGTTACAAGGATCTTAATCATTTGTTTACATTTCAATGTACGGTTATGATTATTTCAAATTAATTCATACAATTATTGCTTTTCAATTCTTTGTTTCCATGGTAACGCATGTAATACGTGTAGCTGTTTTCCAAAATAGTTTTACCATGCGAAAAAGACATTAAGTCTTCGACTTCTGGAAACAGCTCCTCTCATCTTTTTGCCTCGTTGCAAACGTTAATAAGTAATAAATGAAACTATGAACATGTTCAAAAATGTCATTTGTGCACGTTTGCATGGTAACCACGGCCTATTTTTTGCTATAATTTATGATTTACTATGATTACTTTTTGATGGGTTTATAGCATCAAATAATGTTATAGCGAGTTTGAAAAAAAATTCTGTCTCCCAGAGAATATCCCATGAAAGGCAATTTGTAAGCCTTAGTAAGCCATAAATCAATTCCTACATACAGTGTACCTTAATCTATTACAAATTGTGTTATTCACAGTAGATATACCACAAACAAATTTTTCTTATCCCACACACAGAAGGGTTACATCGCTATTTTTTCAACATTTCTTTCAATGAAAATCTAATTAGGAATTTTTAAGAATGTAAAATAGATTTTTGAAAATGTTCCAAGAACTAAAGAGTAACTGAAACTTTTCAAATATTATGTTGAATTGTAAAGTAACATTTTCCACCAAATTATGTAGATTGGTCAAACATAAAATTGTTTTACTAAACAGATATCACTTTCTTAGTAAGAGAGGCACGTTTTTAAGCAAGATATTTGATTTTTGGGAGGAAAAAAAAAAGAAGATGAGCGAACAAGATGTGCAAAATGCCTATAGATTCAAATGTACTTGTATAACAATCAAATTCAATTTGTGAACTAAGTATTTAAAACAAATTAATGAAAAGATTGAAATTATGACAAACTTAACTTTTCTGTAAAAAAAAATTATCTTGGCAAAAATTATTCTATGATAAAAAAAATTAAGGATTTCTTGGAATTTGATCCCAAGCAATAAAAACCCTGTATATCACTTTTTTCTTCGAGACTGACACGCTAAAAACTACACCGCGCAACTCATACCAACTATGTCTGATTGGCTAATACTTGTAAGGAACATATGATGAAGTCTGATTGGCTAATACCTGTAAGGCACATGTGATGAAGTCTGATTGGCTAATATACTGTAAGACACATGTGATGAAGTCTGATTGGCTAATACTTGTATGGCTTTACCAGTGTGTTTCCTATAGAGATATTTTGGAATGAAGTGTACGTCTCAGCAGGAATGCCTATCATGATTTAATAATATCTTCAAGGAATTGGGTATCATTTAGGTGTAGTAAAGCTGTTTGAGGAACATCGGTAACAGTTTCCATTACAATTAGCACTTAATCTACATTGTAGTTTGAACTCTATTACAAGTATTAAATGTTTACTATAACATTATTGGGATCCTTTTTACTAGTCTGCAATATTCTTTCCTTATTTGTAAATTATTTTTTTTATGCCTTGTAACATCAAGCTTCCTAATTTATAACATTTTCGTATTCTCATCATTCTTACCCGTGACAACAGGTGATTAGGACAGTCTTAAGTCTCTCTCCCTATTTTTTACTTGCTTATATTTATTTATGAATAAATGGATAAAATACAAACGTTTGAACCAGGTGTATGAACAATAATATCAATTCTTCTAGCAAATAACGTTTACATACACAATAATTCTTATTCTTATACAAAGTAACTAAGTGAACAACAATATTTCAGTTTGATGTAGTTAAGTGATCCATTAGTTAAAATACCAATGTTTTTAGCAGATACCATGGACAACAACCGGCGCTTGATATTTTAGCTGATTGACAAGATGTTTAAGCGGGAAAAAATTGGACGTTTTAACAAAGAATTTGTGGACATTTTAGCGGAAGATTTATTGGGCATTTGAGCGGAATTTAAATAGGATGTGGACATTTTAGCGTGAAAGAAATTTGAACTTCAATTAGGGTATGCTCTTGCTATGTTGAAATTTGTAATACCTTCATTCAGTAAAACTTACATGCATATATCACCTGACCGTAAGATCAGGTAACCAAACTAAATTTAATTTATATCAATATATATTACATACTATTTCAAATTCATATTAAATTCACATGTAAATATAATGGATTTACAAAAAGAAATTCCGGTTAAAAAGTATCTACATTTTATTTGTTTATGTCTATATTCTGTTCCTTTCTTTATAGTACATCTTAACACCCCAACATTGTTGTATAATTAGAAGCCTGGGGTAGGTTTCACAAAACTATCGTAAGATTTGTTCTAAGACATATTTTAAAGGGGCATGGCCAAAGTTGCATCCCCGTTTTGTTTACAATTTTAAATTTCTATTATTCAAAAAATAACTTCGGTTTAATGCATTGAACTTACATGAAATTTCTTAACGTCATTCTTCATAACAGCACGTCAAACATTTGTATTTGTAAACATGAACTCTCCGTACGAGCTCTGGCCTCAAGACCATTATCTGAGAATGTGCATGATAATTTGCATATTTGTATAAAGTTTTGATTGATACATGACGTGAAAATTTTGTATCATTATCAAAATTATATTAAAAGTTATACCGATTTTAAATTTTGACTTAAGTCTGTTCTCAGTTTATGGTCTTAGGGCCTGTTATTGTTATGTTTACGTTTTACCGAGTATTCAGTTTGCTTACTCTGCACACATCACTGAGCACGGATCGACAATACTGCTGAGTTGGTTTTCTACTCTGAATTTTCTGGATTATAGTTTTGATATTTTTCATTAATACAAACAAATTTTCCACTTTTCATAAATATTTACCCCTTGAAAGAGCAAGGGAGTGTGTCAATCAAACGCGTCCCGAAATTCGTAGTTTTAATAATTTTTCAGATAGAAGAAGTTCCTTAACATGCTTTTAAAATATTTCGGTGTGAAATGCTCTCGCAACATTTAAGCCATTATATTATACAGAAAATTCTACAAAATATTGACTTTAAATCTGTATCCAAACCCCTTTAAGATCTGACTTATGACAATCATAAAATTCGACTCTGCTGTTTCACAAAACTGCATGTATTATAAATATAAAAGATATCTTAAGACAATTCTTAAGATAAACGTCATGCTTCAATATTACAGGGAATTGTTAAAAATATGCCTGAACGAAGTTAGTTGTCTTTCTTTCTTTTCTTTTTTTTAATTGTTATAATAGTTTGTCTTAAACAATCTCTTTTGGAAATAATATTTCATTTCGCCAATTTTAAAGTACCTTGTATTTGGGGGAGGG